AGCCTCATACTGTGAGGAAAAGCTGCAGACTCTGGAACGCCGGGAATCCGCTTTCTCTAACTCAGCTTGTCAGAGCCTAGATGAGAGGGAAATATTGGGCTCTGCTTTTCCTGGGGGAAGGCCGCAGAGGAGGAAGGATAAGAAATAAATCTCTGCCTAGAACTGGAGGCAGAGGCTGCACTTGGGCTCCCTCTGGAGGCTCAACGAGGCCAGGCTCGCTGAAAGGAATGCTCCCAAATGGACAGAAAAGAACCTTTTTCATTTCAAGACTGGTTTCCCCAAATCAAGCAAGGACAACGATGCCGCCATCCAGCAGAAGTCTTTCTTGCTCCCTGTCAATGCAGGGGCCTTCCCACCATCGATGCTGCCCGATGTCTCCTGTCCAGAGCTTGGCTATTCATAGGCATAGCCCTACGTCTATTCTCTCTCCCATTAGACTGGGAGCTCCTCGAGGGCAGGAAACGTCCTTGGTCTTCTGTATCCCCAGAGCTTAGCACAGTGCCTGGTACACAGTAGGCACTTCATAAATGCTTATTCACTGATGATAGCGGTACAATCTCATATGATGAATAGATAGCTTTAAATGACAAAAATTTTAAGTGATTTAAAAAAACCAAACCAAACCCTAGACAATGAAAATCTCTGCCCTTCTTCGGTGACGGATGAACGGCTCCCCCTCGAGCTGAAGAGGGACAGGACAAACTCGCGCTCGGCACGGGTAACTCCAGCGCCTACCACTTACTTCCTCTCCCTTCCACCCAGACTGATTTCCAGAGAGCAGGCTCTGGCGCTGGGGGAAGCGTCCACTCACCTTGGAGGGCGTGGTGTAAGAGTTCAGCAGGGTCTCTTCTTTGGCCTCAACTTCAATCCTGAACATCGGAGTTATGGAAAACAACGGCTCGACGTTGACCCGCGCCGCCAGCTCCGAGAGGCCAGGGCTTGGGACACGCTGCCCGGGCCCGCGTCCTCACGGGAAAAGGATACAGCTCTTGAATGGAGACGATGTCCCAGGTGCCCGGGTGGCTGCTGTCCTTCTTGGAGGCACCGTGCCGGGCTTTGGCGATTCTTTTGGTCAGAAACTGAGGAAGAAAGGAAGGCTCAGTGTTGGCCCAGGTCAACGTAAGGTGCTAGCTCCCATTCAATAAACAGATATTAAGTGCTAGGGAAGAGAAGACACAGTGCCTGCCCTCCTAGGGCTTACAGTCCAAGAGTGGGATAAGACACGGACAGAGACAGCACAGGCTGGGGCGGATTTCCTGAAGGGAAATCATGAGACGAGGTTGGAAATGCTGGGGGCAGGGGGTGGTACGGAGCCTTGATATCAGTCAAAGTCTCCTGAAGTTCACTCAGCGGGAAAAATGGAGCCGCCACAGATGACCGAGGTTCTCTGGACTGAGACAGAGGCCACATACCTGCCTGGGAGTGACCGTAACTGTTCCAGTGTGTGGGAATGAGCATAAGAGATGCCTGGGGGTGGAATGCACGGGACTTAAGAGCCCACCGCGGAGGGAGATGGGTGTGCCAACAAAACCCCTAAGACTTCAAACACGGGAGATGAGGCTAAGGCTGGTGCCACGGACAGAAACGATGCCTTCAGAGGAAATGGCCAACAATTCAAAGTTTGATTTTAATTCGAGGTGTCTGAGGGACTGGTGGCATTTCCAGGGAAAGCCATCGTGCAGCAGTTAAAGATGAGATCGGGGCCAGAGACCCACATGCAGGTGAGCCGTGACTCTGGGAGTACAGGACATGAGGTTGCTGGGGAAGAGGGTTCAGTGACAGAAGAGGCTGAGAGAAGACCCAGGGGCCAGCCCGGGAGGGGAGGAATTAGCAAAGAGAAGCAGGAGAGGACCACAAGGGGACAAGAGGAAATAGGATCCAACAGGAAGGGTAGCCAGCAGCACACACAGCCGGGCACTGGACATCTAAGAAACCCCCGGGGACGCAGGATACAGCATCAGGTGAAGAGGGACCAGGAATGAACCAAGAAACGACAAAGCACCATCCCTTCTCCTCAAAGGATTCCCTCAAGATAAAATAGAGGCTGGACTGCTGAGGCTGAAGAGAAGGGAGGAGAGGAAGGAAGAACCTTCTCAGAAGCTCAGCAGTGAAAGGGAAGGAGATGGGATGGCAGGGGTAAAGGAAGACCTGGAGACTGGAGAAACCGGGTATTATCGGCCAAGAGGGAGAGCGTGACAGGGGATGGGAACAGAGGACTGAGGGAGGGAGGCCCTGAGGAGGCAGGAGCCAGCAGGGGAGGGGATGTCAGAGAGCACCCCCGGCCACCTCCTGTCAAGGGATGTGGTCACGGAGACCTCTTCTGAAAGCAGCTCAACCTCTCCAAGGGTTTACGCTTCACGTTTCCTATTCTTATTTTTTTACGTTAGACACAATGACATTTAGCTTCTTGGGGGACCAGAACAGAACCCTGTTTTCAGTAAATGCCACTGATGTTATTGTAACCCACACTGTGCACACAGGGTAAGTCAGGGTACCAAATTTAGACTCAGCGTCACGATCCTGGACAGCGCCAGGCCTACTCCACACACGTCCAGCAGAGGGCAGGTTTTCACACCCATTTACTCTACAAGCCCCTGTAGAGTGAGATAAGACAATCGAGCCTTAGCACCCGAAGATGGTCAGGGACCCGTGGGTCTTCGTCTTGCGGATGAGATTTTGCAAAGGCTAATATTTGCAGAACATCAACTTGCTGTAAGGAATGACGGCCGTGATGGACACAGAGAAGCACGAAAAGACTGACGTGAACAAAGTACTGTCAGGAGAGCCGAGAAAACAAGCCCCACAATGATTAGTCACAGAAACGGGATCACAACCACAAGACGGTGAAAAATGAGTGTTACGAAGTTACAAACAGCAAGCCTGGCTTCAAAGGAGAGATATAAGAAGACGCCTCCCCTTCTTTTACGGTGGAGGGCAGTTCTGGGTGTGGAATATTGCATATGATGTCCTATTTTTTCAATGTGTTTATCAGTTTTGTTGAATTTTTCTCTTCCTATTTTTAAAAACTTAATTTAAATTTTTTAAAAAGTAAAAAAAAAAATTCTTTATTATGAAAGACAGCTCTCTGGGGGTGAAGAAAAGGAAGGATGTAAGGGGAAATTTAAGTAATATAAAAACAAAAGATAATCAATAAAAATCTATTTTAAAAAGAAAACCTATGGACTCTTCCCAAAGCTAGACTTGAAAAAATGTACCATTCATCAAAGTTTAATGTCTAATGTGACAAAAGGAGGGTTTCACGAGGAAGACGTAAACAACGTTCCAATATCTTGTTTGCTCAATGCTAAACTGCATAAAATAACTGGCTACAAGGGGGCGTATACCACATTAAGTTTTTTAAAAGGTGTTAAAAAACCAAAGCCGTTCAGCCCGATGATTTCAGGGCCTTCTCTGTGCCAGGTTCGTGTGCATTACGTGCCAGGCAGGGATGAAGAAGACCCAGCCTCTGCCTTCAACCCCCCAGACTTTTAGCAGTGTGGGAAAAATCTGCACAAATACCTGACACCTGGGCAAGGCTTGGTGAGCGTCACCCGAGGTAAACAGGAGGCGGCCTGAGGTACAGGGGAGAAGGAAAGGCTCTGCGGCCCGGGTAGCCTTGGGATGATCCCAGCCACAGGAAGCCACCAGGGCCTGGGAGAGAAGATACCAGAGAGCTGGACAATGGTCAGCGGTCTGGAGCTGGAAGAGAACCAGGGAGGGGAATCTCCTCAGCCAGTCAGGAGGGAGGAAGATGAAGGTGAGAGGAAACGTGGGACAGCTGAGTATGAGGTCAGTCGGGACAAGGCCCTACTGGATGGGAAGGAGACGGGATATGAGAGACAGGCCTTGAAGAAGGTTCAGTAGTGGGAGAGAGGGGGAGGTAGCTGAAGGTTTGCAAAATGATTTACAAATATCTCATCCGGTCCTCACAACAGTACTGGGAGGTAGGTGCTATTATTATCACCCTCATTTTACAGTTGAAAAAACTGAGGCAAACAGGGGTAAGTGACTTGCCCGGGATCATGCAGCTAGTGAGTACTTGAGGCTGGATTGGAACTCGGGTCTTTCTGACTGCTTAAGCTGACACAACTCAGATTAAAACTAGACTCTTAGTCACCCTCCTCGCGTGTAACTGTGGTTCTGTTATTATTTACCGAACAATGAATGCTGGGCGCTTGTATCCATTTCTCTGCTCTTACCCCGTTTTCTTTCTTTCTTTCTCTTCAATTTTTTTTCTTACCTCATTTTCGAAGGAGTTGAGGTTCTCCAAGGTGAGATACACTTTGCCGGTGTTGCTGCTAAAGGCCACCAGCTCGGCCACCAGCTCGTCCTCCGTCTTCCTGTACAGAGGACACAGCTCCACCACTGCTGGGACACACAGACAACAGAAAAATCAGGGCCGGGCCGCTCTTCAAGGCCGGGGCGTCTCAGACGAAACAGAGCAGACGCTCCTTCCTCCACACAGCTCACCTTCTGGTTTTTTCACTTCATAAAAATCAAACCCTCCTGGAACGGTTAGACGCTCTCTCCAGGCAGGTGTCTACACCTCCCAAGGCTAACGTTTAGAACTTCCCCTCATCCCCAGAGTCCTAGCGGTGGTTTTGGCCAGAATCGCCCCACACGATGGGGGAAGCTGTTTTACTTCCATAAAGCCCCAAGGGAGCTTCTTGAAAAACGGGGCTGGGCATCAGCGGGGGACGGCTCGGGAGGCCAGAGAAGCCCAAGAAGAGCTCTGCGCGCAGATGCAGGGAAGTCGGCAGAACCGAGAGGATGCGGAGGGAAGGAACAGCTTGGCCCCCCGAATCAAAGGGATGGAGATGCCCCTCTGTGGAGGAGGGGCCACTGCCGGGTGGCACCCTGCACAACCTGGCAGACATGCCTCCACCTTAAGCCAACAAGCATTTATTATGCGCCTGCTGTGTACCAGGCCCGGGGCTAAGTGCTGGGGGTGGGGGGGCGGTACAAAGACGGTTGGAGTGAGCTGCCTTAGGCAGGCTCCACCTTCCATTCCTGACTGTAGCCCCTCCTCCCTTTAGCTGGAGCTTCACATACAGGAAGCGCTTAATAAATGCTTCCTTCCTCCACCCACATTATGTGCTGGGGGTACGAACAAGATGACCCCTACTCTGCAAAGAGCTCATTTCTCATGGAGGAGACGCCAGCGGCACTCCGGTCACCCACACGCGCCCACAAGTACTTGGGGGCTAGGGGAGGGGTCGGGGAAGGCTTCCGGCTGAATCTGGCAGCGCCTGAGGAGAGGGCATGCCAGGCGGGAGACGGCTGGGGCAAAGGCTCGGCGAGGGGCACTCACGCTTCTCGTAGGCCGCCTCTTCGCAGTCCAGGCCGAACATCTGCAGCTCGGAGGCCAGGTGCTCGGCCGACACGGAGCCGGCGCCCCCGGGCCCCATCCCGCCCGCCCGGCACCGGTTACTGAAACAGACCGAGAAAGAAAAAAAAAAAACCCCGCCAAACTCCTCCGCGCGCAGGCGCCCTGCCCCGGCGCGTGCGCACCACCCAAGCTCAACCCGCTGGCCTCCGGGAGGCGAGTCCGGCAGGGCGCAGGCGCGCTGGGTGCGGGCGGGAGGGGGGGAGCACGCATGCGCAGAGCGCCGGCGTGTTAGTGGTGCGGGTAGTGGGCGGAGCCAAAGGGCCGCACCTCCCCCCCCAGCCCCTCCCCAATCATTTACAGGCCAGGGCCCCAGTGGGAGGCACTGGGCTTATCTCCCAATGGCAACTCCTGGCGCAAGGGGTCTTGTAGCTTAATCCCACCTTCTACCCGGAGCTTTTCCTCATCCCCTCCATGCTAGTGCGAACCCCGGTGATGATCTGCAGTTTACCCCCCCCAGCTCCTGTTTGACCCTGGGCAGGGACCGTCTTCTGCCTTTCTTTGTATCCCTAGGACCAAGCACAGTGCCTGGCACATAGTAGGTGGGCAACCGCAGCCCCTGCTTCTCAGGGGTGTTGTGAGGACCAAATGAGAGCATATGTGCACTGTGCTTTGCAAACCTTACAGCGTTATAGGCATTTAATTAAATTAATTAATTAATTAATTAATATTTTGGCTAGGCAATGGGGTTAAGTGACTTGCCCAGGGTCAAGTGTTATGTGTCTGAGGCTAGATTTGAACTCAGGTCCTCCTGAATCCAGGGCCGGTGCTCTATCCACTGTGCCACCCAGCTGCCTCGTTATATGCATTTTAGTCATTCGTAAATACTTATTGACTGGCTAAGTGATCATTTTATTTTTGTCTTTGGCACAGTGCCTGGCACATAGTAGGTGTTTAATCCATGCTTAGTGACTGATTGACGTAAGGGTCTTTCCAATTCTACATGTCACTGGTTAATGCTATTCGTCCACATCCATAACATCTGTTGTTGCTGTGCCCGGGGGCCCTTCTCCCAAGGAACCGCAGGGGGCTCCCAGCAGCGCCGGCATGGCTGGATAGCCCTAAGGGGATCTTGGGAGTCCATGGCACAGGGCTGGACAGGTTATCCCAAGGCTTCCAGTGTGGAATCGCAGAATGCAGCCACAGGGGACTCAGGTGTGAAGCTCAGCACTCAGGATGTGGAGGGCACAGCCACCCTGGACCCGGGCAGCGGCCTGGCAGCTGGGCTGCCTGAAGGGCGTATGCTCCATAAATGTCTGGGGGAATGAATGAATGAATGAATGAATGAATGAGTGAATGACTCTTTTGTGCTTTGTAAAGCAAGTGAATCCTGAAGCCTCAAGTCGGACATTTCTTGAGAGCCCCCAAAGCAACTTTACTGCAGATAGACAGGAGGACCATGGATAAGAGTAATAGCTGATGCAAACAGGGGTTGAATAAATCAGAATAAGGTGAAATCTGAGGCCGGATTGGAATCGAGGGCTTCCTGCATCCAGGTCCAGAGCTCTATCCACTCTGTCCGCTGCACTACCCAGCGACCCATGACTCCCACCATCTTTGAATGGGAAGGACCCCAGCTCACCTAGAGTTAGATCAGCCTTCTTTTCGCTGTAGCACAGGGGGAAAGCGCCGGACATCAGGGCACAGGGGAGAGTGCTGGATTTGGAGTCGGAGAAGCTGGGTTTGAATTCCATCTTGACACTTACTGTCTGTGTGACCCGGGGCAAGTCACTGAACTTCTCAGCCTCAGTTTCCTCATCTGTAAAAAAAAAAGGGGCTGGACTCAGTGGTCCCTCAGGCCCTTCTGGCTCTAACCATCTGATTGGACAATTCTCCTCCTGTGCTGGCTAATCCTTGGCAAACAGCGTCAAACACATGCTTGTACCAATCGTTCATTAAACTCCTACTCGGCTGAGCATTTTGGACACAGCCAAATAGGGAGGGCTTTAGCACTTCACGAAGATTATCTGACTGGATCCTCAGAACAACTCTGTTAAATAGGGGCTATTATTATCCTCATTTTACAGATGAGAACATGGAGGCAGACAGAACTATGTGACTTGCCCAGGGACATGAAGCTGAGGCTGGATTTGAACTGTGGTCCATCCTGACTCCAGGCCCAGCCCTCTCATTCCTGCTACCACATAGCTACCTTTCACAAAAGGAGAGCTCCTAACTCTCAAAGAGCTTAAATTTTAATGCAGGTTATAATTTATGTATATGTATATATGCGTTTACATTTACATACACACATGCACACACGTGTAAGCAGTTTTAGGTATAAATTATAAACAGTCCGACTGCTTGGAAGATCTTGTACCGCTCGGAGTACTGAGGAACTTTGTTCATTTTTAAGGAACGGTTTGTGCTAAGTTCTTGCATTTCCATAGCTTCTGCCAGTCCAGCTAATTCCTGGCCCTGCCCTTCCTCCCTGGCTTTTCCCATTCCTGCTCTAGCCTGATCTGTCCTCTGGCCAAGAGAAAAGCTAAATGCCCCCGACTGGCCTGGCTTTGGCTCAAATGAGCATGCCTCTTTTATTCTTTACCCAGACAGAGTAAGATTCCTTCTGAGGCTCAGGGAGGAATCTTCTCCTTTTGTGCCTCCCAGGGTGCTGCACACCGTGGGATAGGGGGACAGCCTTGAGGACAGGGAGACCAGCTTTACACACTTATTCAATCAATCAGCTAGAATTGGTCAGCACTTTCTGTAATCCTGGCCATTGGGAGGCCCGGGCTGGTGGATTGCTGGAGCTGGGGAATTCTGAGACACAGTGGGTTAAGCCAATTGGGAGTCTGCCCTAAGTTTGACATTAATATGGAGAGCCTGCCCCTGTCATTGGTTGGGTGTGGGGAGGATTGGGTTACTTAAAGCTTGAAAACAGAGCAGGTCAAAAACTCCTGAACTAATCTGCCATGGACTAAATCCTGAGTAGTTCCTGCATTTCCACCCTAGGCTTGCAAGATAGGGAGATCCAGTCTTTAAAACGAAACAAAAAGGGAATTTATTAAGCACCCACTATGTGTCAGGGAGTTTACTAGGTCTGAGGATAGAAAGACATCAATGAAACAGTTCCTGACCTCAAGGAGCTTACCTTCTCAATGGGGAGACAAATCCACAGATTAGTATATGTACATTTTTTTTTCCGGGTTAGGCAACGGGGTTAAGTGACTTGCCCAGGGTCACACAGCTAGTAAGTGTTATGTGTCTGAGGCTGGATTTGAACTCAGGTCCTCCTGAATCCAGGGCTGGTGCTCTATCCACTGCGCCATCTAGCTGCACCCTATATACATTTTTTTGAAGGGAAACTAGACCTGTGATTTCATTAATGTTGATAATTCCCAGGGGTGGAAACTCCCTCCACTAATTCAAGTCACCACTTTCTCTGTAGTCTTAGAGAGTTGGCTGGGGACTGCCTGCCCAACCAGGGTCAACCAGATATGAGTCAGAGACTGGACATGAGTTCAGATCTTCCCGATTCTGGGGCCGTCTCTTTGTCCACCACACCATGCCACACTGACATCTATAGGTAAAATAAGTATGTGTACAAGAAATCCAAGGTGATTTCTGGGAGGCAGTGTAGGGTGGCCAGGAGGTGACATTATCATTCTCTCCTCCTCCACTCCCTCAGCCCATCCATCCAATCAATTGCCAGGTCTTGCCATTTCTACCTATGTCTTCAATCTGACCCCTCGCACCTCTTGCCTAGATTATTGCTACAGCCTTGGAATTAGGGTTAGACATGGAATTGGTGTGTGGGGGGGTCTCCCTACCTCAAGACTCCCAGCTCCAGACCATCTGCTGCCAAATCAACTTCCTTAAGTGGAGATCTCATCCTGGGAGTCCTGGACTCCCCCAGTCCCAGTGACTCCTTTGGCTCTAGACTCACAAGAGAATTCTTCTGGTTGGTACTTAAGGTTCTTTACAACCTGGCTCAAGTCTCCATTTCCAGCCTCATTGGACGTCACTCAGTCAGCTCCCAGCAACACCTGGCATTTATTACGGTACCAAGTGGAACCTGGGCTCCCCATTTCTAACATGGTGCCCAATGCATCTCACTGTGTGGGTGAGGGTAGCCTCCTTAGATTGGCTGCCTGCCTTCATCTTTAAAACTAGCGATACTGAGTTCTTTGGCTTTTTTTTTCTTTTTTTTTTGCTCAGCTGCTTCTTTTTGTCCACTTCTATCTGCTGGGCCCAGCGTGGGTATTATGGACTGAATTGGTAAGAGGGGAAGGACTCCCCCCCAGCTCAGAAAAATGGGGCTAGGGGCGCTTGTTTCTGTTCTGTGTTATAGATCCTCTTCAGTTTAGAGGGGATCTCTACAGGTCTAGGGCCATGATGACCTTGGGGCCTGGATTTCAGGTAGGTGGTGTAGCCAGCCAACCCAGCATGGTCGGGACTGGAGGCAGGAGGGAGTTTGGACTTGAAACTGGGACTGTGCTCTAGGGAACCACGTTAAGCTATGAACCTAATCCTCATACCTTCCCCAGGAACTGAGGTGATGGCAGTGGGGGCCGGGAATTGTGCCTCTCACATTTTGGGGGGATATGTTGGCGTATTTGTGACTACATCTTTGGAAGTAAATATTCTTCTGTAAAAGCGCCAGTGTTACACAAGCATTTATTAAGTGCTTACTGTGTGCCACTGTGCTAAGCTCTGGGGATACAAAGAGAGGTGAACGCATGATCTGTGCCCTCAAGGAATTCACATTGTAGTGACGGAGACAAAATATAAATAACTACATGCCTTAAAGAGGGCTACAGAGTGGAGGGAAGGTAACCTCTCAGGGAAGGCATTAGCAGGTGGGAGGACCAAGAAAGTCATCCTGCAGAAGGTGGGATTTGAATTGCATCTTGAAAGAAGGCAGAAAGTTAAGAGGTGGAGGTGGGACATTTCAAGGAGGAGAGACGGTGAGTGCAAAGGCCCGGAGGTGGGAGATGGGGCTGTCCTGTTGAAGGAATAGCAAGTTGACCAGTATATTTGAGCTATAGAGTATGTGTTGGGTGTGGGAACAAAGTGTGAGAAGA